TCCCAGTCTCGATCATATCCGGTCGAACATATACACACAGGACACACACACACATAAGTTACACACACCAGTTGCACACACCAGTTGCAAATAAACGTATTAATTGTTTAGGAATACGGATGTGGCGTTTAAGGAGGTGTATTTGTACGTGGTGGGTCCGGACTCTGCGGGTGAGAAGGGGCCAGAGTGGAAGAAGCCGGGCGAGGAACAGGACCCGATTGTGGAGTCGGTTGCGAACGAGTATTGTGGTTTGACGGAAGCACCCGTGGTGTCGGGATTCACGTCTCGGTTCCGTGGGTTAGGACCGATAGGCATGGAGCAGGAGATTTACGGGGCTCGGGAGGTGCGTGGAATATTGTCTAATTCGGCGTATATACCGCGACGAGGATGGCGAATATTCCAGGAGTATTTCCAGGATTGGGAGTTGGAGTTGCTCAAATACGGGTACTTGGTACCGCTGACAGCGCAGCTGGGTCTGGATGACCCGCATCTGGATCAGTACGACGTAGATAGTCAAGTACGGCTTATTCTCACGACGCTGAGAGGCTGTATCGATGACCCTGCCGTTTCGCGTGGCTTCAACTTCATCTTCGTTTGGCACCAAGCCGTGCGGGGCACTGAGGTCCAAAGCTTCGGCTCCTCCTGGGGCGCCCGGTGGCCCGCTCCTCTCTCGGAAGACTGCGTAGGCGCTAACTCCTGCAGCGACTGCAATGCCATTACCGGCTGCACGTGGTGCATGACTCAAGTCGGACAAACATGTGAAGCAGCCTGCAACAACGGATTTGACCAACCACTACCCTGCACCTCGTCCGATGTCCACCCCCACATACAACTCTATTCGCTGCATACTTATTCGCTCCTTCTTGCCGTATTCTACGGAGCGCTGCTGACTACACTCTGATAGCTACGCATCGGGAACTTTTTTGTGGGAACAACTTTGGCGGCCACACCAGCCTGCAACCACAGCAGCTGGCCCGTCGCCGTGTAGAACTGCAGCGAGACACGGCGTATCTGGGGAGAACAAGATCACGATTATGGAGAACAAGATCACGACCGAATTCGGAACCATGTCCGTGACGTGGCGGCCGGAGCCGCCGTGCTTGTCGGAGTCAGTGAAAACGCTGAGTCATATAGCTTCGAATTTTTTTAACGGTGAGTTCTACGGCGTAGATAGTCTTAATCTCAAGCTGCTCCGACAATTTTTGGAAGAGTGTTTGCGGAACCGTGCGAGAGCTGCGCGAGACTGAAGATTCACCCATCCACCGGCAAGGTGCGGCAATGACATTCGGAAAGCCGCCGGCATGGCTCACGAATCACTCGATCATGTATGACCAAGATTGTCCCAGCGTTGGACGCGATGCAGACTTTCAGGATCTTCCACCGGTACCGGGTAGTCCCGTTCGGGCCCCCGCCGGTAGTACTGGTGGACAACGGCACAAGCTTCCGAGAAGCCTTCCACCCAAAGGTAACGTGCCGCATGGACCGTCCCTTCCCATAAAGGTAGTTAACACAACCTTCGCACTGCATGCAGCAGTCAGTGTCTGGAACTTTTTTGGTGGGAATTATTTCTTGACCAGATTGCGGTTACGAGCTTGCTTGCGGTTACAGTAAAAACTGGCGGTGTACAGGCATTTTCAGTTGGCATTTGAACCACTGCATGATACTGAGACAGAACGTCAGGGATTTGAAGATTTTAGGGAACAAGTTACAATGACTGGAATCTTGCCTGTGAAGTTGACAGCACCGTTGGGGTTTGGAACCATGTCCATGACGTGGCGGCCTGAACCTCCGTGCTTGTCGGAGTCAGTGAAGACGCTGAGTCATGTGGCTTCGAAGTATACGAATTTTTTTAACGGCGGTGAGTTCTACGGCGTAGATAATCTCAATCTCAAGCTGCTGCGACAGTTTTTGGAAGACTGTTTGCGGAACCCTGTGAAGAGAGGACCCTTGATTTTGAGTATCAAGGGAGCTGTGGACTTCGCGGCACAAGGGCCCGACGGATCGAAGGCGGGTATTGACCGAAGTATCGCCAACATAGTAAGTCATTTGAACGATGTTCGTGACAAATACCCCAAGGACCAACGGCCGCAACTCCTATTCGAAATGGCGAGAGTAGATCCTCGTGTTCCCTACACTGAGTCTATTGGCTACATCTACGAGCACGTTAAGAACGGAGATATAGACGGCATTTCACTTTCGGAAACAGGCGCCAAAACTATAGAGGCGGCAGCATCAGTAGCCCCCATTTCGGCCGTAGAGGTGGAATTTTCATTGGTCGCTCAGGACATTCGACACAATGGTGTGCTCGATACCTGCAAACGACTAGGCATTCCCATCGTCGCCTACTCGCCACTCGGCCGTGGACTACTTACCAAATACTGCGTCGAGGACCCCCAAAGGTTCTTGGACGCAATCCCAGAAGGAGACATGCGCAAGGCTCATAAACTCGAAAAGTTCCTTCCCGAAAATTTCGCCCACAATGCGAAATGCCTGCAAGCACTTCAAGAATACGCACAAAAGCACTACAAAGCTGACCTCGAACAGTTAGCCGTTGCCTACATAGTCAAGATTTCAGCACAAAATTCTGCTAATGGGGAGCCAACGATCATCCCTATACCATCGGGATCCACCATTGACAAGATTGACCGGAACTTTAAAGCGACCCCACCTCTCACCGATGAGGACATCAACAATATTCACGAATTGCTAGATACGTACAAGATCATAGGCCTCAGATACAATGCCCAAATGGAAGCTTTCTGTTTTCAATAACTTGTCATGCCGCGAGGCAACGTCGTCGTTGCCTCGAGGCATGACATTGCGAATCTGAAGTACAGTTTTTGGAAATACAAGTCTCGTCAAGGTAGCGTTGAAGACCATTACTCCTGATGGCAAACATTGACAGCGGTATTGCCACGTTCTCACCGACGAGGACAATGTTCAGGGATACGTACAAGATCATAAACCTCAAATACAAATGGAAGCTTTCTTTGTAAGACGTATTTTTTCATAAGATGTTATGAGAAAAGACTGCTGGGTTATAAATAGTTTCGAGGGTGTCATAGTGATCAGCTCTCCCAGCATCGAATAATAGCTTTCTTCCTTTTCGAAAATTTAATGCCTGAGATTCTGCCTGTGAAGTTGACGTCCCAGTTGGGGTTTGGAACAATGTCTATGACGGCTTGGCCGTCACCCCCGCCTATTTCTGAATCGGTTAAGACGCTGATACATGTGGCATCGCACTACACCAATTTCTTCAATGGTGGCGAGTTCTACGGGGCAGCCAACGCCAATCTCAAGTTGCTTAGACAGTTTTTGGAGGAATACTTGAAGATAGCTGAGGGTGGTCATGGAAAGAGACTTGTTTTGAGTGTCAAGGGAGCGTTGGACTCGAAGACCTTCATTCCCGACGGGTCGAAGGTGAGCATTGATACCAGTATTGCTAACGTAGTAAGTCACTTGAACGATGTGCGTGACAAGTACCCCAAGGACTGTCGTCCATTGCTGTTGTACCAAATGGCTCGAGTTGATGTTCGCGTTCCCTACACTGAGTCTATTGGTTACATCTACGAGCACGTTAAGAACGGAGATATAGATGGCATTTCGATCTCGGAGACAGCCGCCAAAACCATCGAAGCCGCGGCATCAGTGGCTCCCATTTCAGTTGCGGAAGTAGAATTTTCGTTAATGGTACAGGACATTAGGCACAATGGAGTGCTGGATACATGCAAGCGACTCGCCATTCCTATCATTGCTTACTCCCCACTGGGGCGGGGACTCCTTACAAAACAGTGCGTCCAAGACCCCAAACGATTCCTAGATAGTATACCGGAAACGGATCCACGTAAACTTAGGAAACTTGACAGGTACATGCCGGACAATTTCTACCACAACGCGAAATGCCTGGAAGCACTACAAAAGTACGCACAAGAACACCATGAGGCTGACCTGGAACACTTGGCTCTTGGCTATATCGTTAAAATGTCAGCTTTAAATTCCACCAATGGAGAGCCTTCCATCATACCGATACCATCCGGGTCCACCATCGATAAGGTCGAACGCAATTTCAAGACGATCCTTCCACTCACCGACGAGGACATCGATAATATTCACAAATTGCTGGATACACACACGATCAAAGGACTCAGGTACAACACAGAACTCGAACGCATGTGCTTCTTGTGAGTCTTCAATTTCAGACTTCTTTTTTTTGGGAAAATTTCGGGCTAAAATTAGGCAAAATGAGAGAATGAGTTTGATTGAATAAGTCCTCTCAGATGAACCAGACCCGAGGGGATATACCCCGTCCAAGAAAATATACCCTGGCCGAGAGCATGTACCCCACCGAGGATGTATTGGTGGTCATATGAGGGTGGTCATACGAGGATGGTCATATGAGGATGGTCATATGAGGATGGTCAGGTCATTAACTCTAGAGTTAAAAATAGTAAAAAAATAGTCACAAAAATGGAGACTATGTTAGTATGACAACGACGAGTATGACAACGAGGACTATGTTGGTCCTTCCTTCATTGTTGGCATGCCGTGTTCGACTTGAGTGTTGGTTGTATTATCGGCCGGTTGTAGTGGACGCATAACATCAATTCGTGGCGGCATCGTAGGGTTCGTGATGAGATACCGAGCTAACTATTGGAGGGCTTCGACTATATGGACAACAAGTTTTTTGGACACAAAGTCCTCCATGACTTTTTAAGTCCTCCACGAGTTGTTAAGTCGTCCACGATTTGTTAAGTCCATTATGAATTGAAGTCGAGAGTCCTCAAGCGAATGACCTTATTAAGCGGATATTCCGCTTCGTGGCACGTCCTCCACTGCAGCCTCAAGATCTGCAGCTTCAACCTTTGGTGCGTGCTCGGCGTCCGCAACGCGGTTGACGGCAGGGTAGCAGGTAAGTGCGGCCAGTGCCCAAATGCCAATGGCGATCCACATTTGGATGCGGTAATTGACCTTAAGGTCAAGACCCCAGGCCACGGCAGCGCCGGCGGACTGAAGGCCTTTATAATAGCCAGTGTATCGGGCAGTGAGGGTGGTATCACCGCGAGCCACGCCGCCGATCATCCAGTAGGAGAATGCTTGTAGAACGGAGTCAGCAAAACCGGAAATAATAAACAGGATGATGATGCCGGTGGCTCTCTTAGACTGGGACATGTCAACAGACTCTGTAATGACTCGGTCCTTGTCATACCCGCCTTCGAAGCCGTATTGAATGGCAATTGAACCGGCCCAGAAAGCGATCATTGCGAACTGCACTAGGAAGTACGAGTTGCGCGCATTCGTCTTAGCTCGGTGTTTGACACTGTCCAGGATCTTGCCCACCACGTAAGCTCCAGCCATCTGAATCGCCCAGTACAGAGTGCTGTTCAGTCCACGAGTGCGGATGTTGAACAAGAAAGCATTAAGGTAGTTAAGCTGATAAGTATAGAACCAATTGGATGAAAGGAACGTGCAAAACAGCAGAAGCATGTCCAGGTTCGTAGCCACCAGTAAAGCACCCTTGATGTCTTCAATAGCAGAGCCAGCAGGAGTTACTTCCACAGCACTGCCATCCTCCTTGATAACCTTCCGAGGGTTGGCAAGTAAAATCAATGAACTTAAAGCACCCACACACATCAAACCTATGAACGTAAAGTAGAGAGCTGGGTTAGCTTGACCGGACTCCTCATGGAAGTTAATACCAAATGCTATCAAACCACCAGCCACACCACCAAGGTTGAAGATAATCCAGAACACGGAAATGTACCAGCCCTTATTATCAGGTGTAGAGTAGGCAAGCATCATGCCTCCTTGTGCAGTCCAGAAAATCCCGGCACCTGCGCCAAGGATAGCACCACCCAACGGAGCAACCCAAGCCGTGTTGTCAACGTTACCAACAATATACATACACACAGAGTAAATTGCGTAACACAGACCTCCTAGGCACATACACCAACGGTTTCCCAACGCGTTGAACACTGGGCCTCCAAAATATCCGCACACAGCAAACGTAGCATACAGCGCCGTATTGGCCGCATTACCTGCATCTGGGTTCTTGCCGCCAGCTCCACCGAGACCTTGCATGGCGTTAAATATGCCTGGGCAACAGAACGAGATAAAACCGACAATTAGAATTTGAACAAATGCGTCATTCTTCTTCATCTTCGGAGAAAGCAAAAAAATAAATCAGAGCGTATTAAAATACAAACTTAGCCAACACCAAGCCACGAGACCTAACGACCAACTCTGGGCTTAAGATAGCGCGCACACACCCAAGTTGACACACGAAACAAAGCGACACACGCCAGCGCACACACACGCCAGCCCGCACACACGAACTAAGGTTTTGACCAGTACCCAAAGGGTTGTGGGCAAACTTACTAACCGTGCGTGAATTCAGGAGGCCCGCGGCCTATCCATAACTCCCCAGTGTGCTACAACCCCCTGGGGTCCATCCGCAGTCAGCACCAGCCCTCGGGCACTGGCGTAAACACTATCCCACTGAAACCCTTGCGAACCCCGTTTGACAAATGGCCCTCGTGTCCAGCACAGCAGCCACTGCCGAAGCACGCTGGACCCGCTCACAAGTACGTGGCTCTCGCTCGCTAGTACGTCACTTGTACGTAGTACTAGTCTAGCAACGCACCAGAACGCACGCCAAGTGGGTTTCCGAGTCAAGTCCGAAGCGGGGTGCAGCCCCATGTACTTGTGGTGGTTTGCGTCAATCGTCTTGTTACACGGGACCCAGGCGGCCCCAGCCTGGCCTGCCCGCCGCCTGGGAGTCAAGTCGAACATCGAGTCCCTCATCGAAGCGGTTATCGGCAACGAAGCCGCAGATGTGCACCCCGAAAAAGTGTCCAAACCGCCCGGAGCATCCTCCACCACCCCCACCCCCTCCGATCGTTCTCCAAAGAAGGAAGCTGTCGGCCACGGTCTTGAGGTACGTATTGACCACAAGTGATTTTTAAATTATGTTCCGCGGCGGCTCACGAGGAGGCGGATTCCGAGGGGGTCGTGGGGGCGCCGGCAACAGCCGAGGAGGATTCGGTGGAAGTGGTCGAGGCGGAGCCAACCGCAACCAGCCGATGGGACCTCCCGCCAGAGTTATACGTAAGTCCTGTCACCATCTCATCGCACCCCGGTAGCCCCCCGTAGTGGCCCGCGCAAGACGCATCCTTTTTAGCTGCTGGAAAGGTTTTGCACCCTTGCGAGGATCAGCTGGTTGTTGAATTCAGCGAGTTGGATAAATCACAAGTGCCGTACTTCAACGGCCGAGTCTTCCTTGCATCCAAAACCGAAGTTGGCAAAGTAGATGAGATTCTTGGACCGTTAACAAAGATGCTTGTTAGCGTTCAAATGGCCCCAGGCGTCAAAGCCGATTCCATTCCTGCTGGAACCGTGCTCTATATCGACCCAACACAAATTCTTCCTCTAGAACGATTCCTCCCTGCCGAACCGGGAGCCAAGCCAGCTGGCCGAGGTGGTGCCCGTGGTGGTGGCCCTTCCAGAGGAGGACGCGGCGGCGGTGCCCGAGGTCGGGGGGGCCCAAAAAAAGGTAGCTTCAGCAGTGGACGAGGAAACTTCGGAGGCTCACGCGGCAGCTTCGGGGGCAGCTCCCGGGGTGGCAGCTTCCGGAGTGGACCTCCACGAGGTGGTTCCAACAGGCACTGACTTTTTCCTCTTTCACACAAACATGAAAAAGCATAAGACCAACACCACTCCAGAACCTCAGGGATCTGGTCCTCAAGTCCACGCCGGCAAGAGTTTGCGCTGTTTGGCGATGATGAATGAAATCAGCTACGCCAGCGGGTGCCAATTCCGTTTCTGATCATACGTGTTTTCAAGGACGTGTCCCCCCTGCGAAAATTGGTGGCCTTTAGATCTATGTCCGGTTTGGGCAGCATCTGTTTGGGGGAATCAACCCCTTCCTCTCCAGCAGCTTCACTTTCCGGAAACGAGCCTTCAACTTCTGGCGTGCGCCCAATTTCCTTCGCGGATCGGAGGGAAGCTGCCGGCAAAGATACATCGTCCGATTCCCCGCTCGTGGCGTCAATGGCACGCGGACGAGGTTGGACAATCAGTTGGCTCGGTGGCAGCGCCTGGAGACGGGCCTGAATGACTCCTGCGTGGGCGGCAAGTACGAGCAAATATTTCATAATGCGCGCGCACACGTGTGTGCGCGTGTTTTATGAGAGCCTTGGTTCTTGCATCAAGGACGGTCTTTCTAGCGGTGCTGTTCTAGCACCCACAATTGATGCCAGTGCGGATGCATGCTCAACCTCTTGGGTCGTTGGTCTTTGAGGCTTTTATGTTTATCCATGGGAGTTGCCTAATTACTAAAAATTCATGCCGAGATGTCGTCGACTGGTGGGGGTATGAATTCGGCCCCTTCGGCCGGCATGCCATCCGGCGGTGGAGGAGGGAATGGTGGTGCGGCTTCCTCGTCGTCGTCAGGGAATGGTGGAGCATCGCTGATTCCCTATCAGCCCAAGGTATTTTGCGGGTTTATAGCATTGGTGGGTCGGCTATTTTACGACGACGCAGGCATTGTGTTGTTAGACTTCTTTGCGAAGGAGCAGCGTGCATTCAGCGAAGCGGAGTTGAAGGAGGTATTGCGGTGGCGGGAGAACTTGTTGCTGCAGCAGTTGGCCAAGTTGGAGCAGCAGTTGCTGCTGGAGAGGGTGATAGAGGCTGAGCGGGGCAGTCGGACGGTGTATTTATGGCGTTTGCATCCGCACGTGTGTGTGGCGATAGAGTGGCGCTTGAAGTCGCTTTTGGAGGCTCTCCAGAGCGAAGTGGACACCGCCACGCAGCAGAATACTCTGGTCTGCCCTCAGTGCCAAGTGAACGTGAGCTTGCTGGACGCAGCCTGCGGACCCAAAGCGCTGGAGGACGACCACCCCTTATGCAGCGTCTGCCAGTCTAAGCTGACTACGTGCAACTCCGAGCAAGCACGACAGTTGGCCGAAGACCGACTTGCCAGAGCACACAAGTCTTTAGACGGACTCCGTACGTACCTTGCCAGGGTGAAAAACATGGAAGTGCCTTCATTCACCTCCGAAAGATATCAGCCGCCGGCCGAACCGGCCAACGAACCATGTGCGCAAGAGGCGAAGCCTCCAAACCCGCAACCCAGTAAAGGTAATACACATACGTGGGTGTGCGATCCACTACACGGGTGTGCGATCCAATACACGGGTGTGCGACCCAATACACGGGTGTGCGACCCAATACACAAATTAGTATGGTCCGCAACACACACGTGCGGTCTGGCCAGACACCACAAAACGTGTACCTTTCGATAGATAACACGTCGAGTTCGGCGGTGGGTGGCGTGGACGGTGAATCTTCAGACGTGTCGCGGGCCATTCCCTGGTTCATGCCTGCACAGACACCGGGGGCCGGCGCTGGAGCCGTGCCTATGGCGATGGCCGCTGGTGCCGGGTCGGGTCCACAAGCAACCAAGAGTCAGGCCGCCGTGTCCTTTGGACGTAGTGGTTCAAGACACTCCATGGCTTCGGCCGCGTTGAGCGCCTCCAGCGCCTTGGCCAGTGCCAGTCGTGCCGGAGCTTTTGAGAGCGCGTTGGGCGCTTCCTCACTGCACGGGGCGCCGTCTCTGAGCGGCACGTCGTTTTCTGGCCAACCTCTTACTGGTCAGTCCTTGACTGGTCAGTCGTTGACTGGTCAGTCCTTGACTGGTCAGTCCTTGACTGGCACGTTTGGCTCTATGGGGCTTGGCTCTACTCCAACGGGCTTGGTCAGCGGCCCTCTCCCCGGAATGGGTACTCCAATGGGCATTAGTCCTCTGGGTGTGGGCAGGACGCCCCTTTCCCTGTCTCTCGCCCCGGGCGGTAGCGGCTCCCAGGTCAGCGGATCGGGCCTCAGCGGACCCGGAGCATTCGGAGCTCACAAGACTACCATTAAACCCAAAATCTCTCTAACCGCCACAGGTCCAGGCCTCGGTGCCAGCATGAGACTGCAAGGTTCGCTTCTTGGTGCGGCCCCCAAACCCTTCTCGCTACCCCTCAAAGGCGCTCGATCTGAGTAAGAGAGCACACCATCTCCCACACAGGTGCCCCCTATCTGTCCCAACGCGATGACGTCGACCTAGCCATGTACTGACTCGACTACTCAGACGCTGAGCGTACTGAGCGTCCACCACCCAAACAAGCAACCCCATAGGTGGTCTCCTCCGTCAGTACCGATCGGAGACTGTTTCACCCCTCCCGAAACTGTGCCCACGCGCCCATCCCGCACTGCCCACGTACGTTCGCTGGCACACGTGGTGTGTATAATGTAATTGTACGTTGTTATGAATATGCGTGCGTGCATGCGTGTGTGCCTGTTGCGTTGTTATGAATATTTCTTGTGTGCAGCCTCAGTAATGGCAGCGACGGTAGTGGGTCGATGAAGCGTCCCCCTCCGTCATCCACATCGTCGCTTTCCAAGGCGTTCGACAAAAGGGTCCGCTTCTAGAGGGGCACACCCCATAAAATCCGTAGGAGAGTGGCTTGTGCTTGCGCCCCCACAAGCCTAACTTCAGTCCTTTGTGCGGTACTGGTTGCGGTGCTCTCCGATACTTGTGTATTCCCTGCCGGAGGTTACTGTCACTGCCGGTAGTCGCTGTCACTGTCGATACTCCCGCCGGTCGTCGCGTAGGGCAATACTCCTGCCGGTCTACAGATTGACCACAGTTACTTCACGACCACAGTTACTTCACCTTCCAGTATTAAAGGCAAGGTCTTGATGGCTTACCTTGACAGGTTCCCTTCACAAATTACCTTGACAGGTTACCTCAACATAAGTCATGCGGTAGGTCATTCGGTAGGTCATCAGAACATTCGATAGGTCAGCGGAACATTCGATAGGTCAGCGGAACATGCGATAGTGCTGCTTTCTTTTTTCCTCGAATGCCTTTTTGTGAGCTTCAGACGTGGAGTCATCCCAGTAGCTACGGCCTTCACTTTCGTCTTTCTGCGCTTGCTCCATGGCCTCGGTTAGAGCATTTCGGAAATCCAGCGACTGTTGCTCTCCAGAAAATTCCGCGCTCACAAGGGCTTGAGGGCCCGCGGCTTGAGCATCCGCGGCTTGAGCGACCGGCGATGGCTGTTCGGGGTTATTTACTGGTGGTGGGCCGTCCAACGAGAAGGGCTCGAGTAACTCCACCGGATCGGGGGCCATGCCGGTATAAGGTGTTTTAGGCTCGTCTATCTTCATTCGAGTTCCTCTACAAATGGAACCTTGTTTTGTAGAGGCAGGGCGGCCGCCTACCGGGCAGGGGCAGCCAACGGGTTTTGTTCACACCGGAAAGAAGGGCAGTTCGTTACCTTTCGAGGTCTTGAAGGGCGATGGATTCTTCGTCCCATCGGAAGGACTTCTTTTTGGTACTATCCCCCTTTTTGAGTCCTCCCTTGGTCGCAGTTCTACGTTGGTTGTCTTGGGAGGTACGTCGGGAGGTGTCGTCGGTCTGCATGGATAAAAAATGGAGGGGTTGAAGAATCGGATTGCCGCAGCCAAATCTCTTGAGCTCCTGGCTTGGAACGAAACTGGTGGCCATGCCACAGACCTGAGCCCCACGTGGAGTTACCTTTTGCGAAATGCCATCCGAGACGAATCTCTAACCCCCCATGAACGAAACCAACTTCAAGACCTGCTTTTCAAATCCCGTACTACACACTCCTGGCCTCCCCGTACTACACACTCCTGGCCTCCCGGTACTACACACCCCTGGCCTCCCCGTACTACACACTCCTGGCCTCCCGGTACTACACACCCCTGGCCTCCCCGTACTACACACCCCTGGCCTCCCCGTACTACACACCCCTGGCCTCCCCGTACTACACCTCCCCCTAGAACCTCCCCCCCTCGCTTCCACGCAGGTACCATGCAGCGTCACGCCCTCGCTTCTGCGCAGCTTGATGTAACGACAACGTTCTTGATTAGTGGCTGAGGACTTATCTGGGGTTGGATATTACCCGGAAGGTCGAGTTCGCGTATATTTGTCATCGCTATTGGAGCTTCTCATAAACCGGAAAATTAGCACTCACAAGCTGCACTGTCAGATTCTGGCTATTAGAGAGGCGGCGAAACATGGCTTCTATGCGGCCATGGCGGCTGACCTCATAGAACTCATGTGCGAAAAATTGAGACAGGTGTCTCCGGAGCGTGCAGGCAACGGAGAAGGACCTGGTCGGACCAAGACCCCAGGCAGGGTAGGGGCGGACAAGATAAATGAGAAGGCCCCGGGAGAGGAGGCAGACCCGTCTAGGTTATTAGCAGAGTCCGCTTTGAAGCTGTCTTTGAGCGATGACGCTTTGTTGAGCCATGCCGTGGAGTGTGCGAAAAGTTTAAGAACGCGCGTGGGCCGGAAGTTGCTGTCGGACTTGGTGCTTGGTAGTCGTCGGAGTGCCAATTTCTCAACTGTATTTTCTTCGGTCGTGGATTACCTTGCCCGTGAAGATCCTGGCCAGCTGAAACACTACATTACTCCAGCATTTTTATTGAACGCTGCAGTTACGCCCTCCGATCTGGTATATCTAGCTGAAGTCACGAACTCACCCAGATCCCCCCTATCCAGCTCTGCCGGTTCTATGTCCCCAGGCGGCATGACTCCAGTTGACATGACTCCAGTTGACATGACTCCAGTTGACATGACTCCAGTTGACATGACTCCAGTTGACATGACTCCAGTTGACATGACTCCAGTTGACATGACTCCAGTTGACATGACTCCAGTTGACATGACTCCAGGTTCCGATGTTCCGACCAGATCGGCCCCGTCGGTAATGGCGACTTTGTTATGCTGTATGACCCAGTTGATCGACTTCAAGAACCCATTGGTGGCCCTGCAACACAAAGTCGCCACGCGCAGCTTGTGTGAGAAACTGCCGTCAAATAGCGGGGGTGACCCCCCGCTATGGCAACTACCACTGGCGACACTTATATGTTCAGTGAGCTCTTGTGCCACGGCGGATGTCGAGTTTGCCCGAGACCTCTCACGCCACATGTACCCCGACAACCTCTATGCAGTGTGCTTAGGACACATCGAGAGCCTGAAGCTACGAGGAGCGAGTCTTGGCATCACCTACACCACCGACTGTGGCTCGGCCATGACTGGCTCTGCCGAGAAATCTCGCGTTCGGATTAACGGACCTATCTTGGCCCCTCTATCCTCCGACTCGGACCCAACCGAGTTCGGGAGCGTGTCGGTACATGAGCGTCTTCCTCGGCATCTGGCGAGCTACGATAGGTGTTACATGTTGCTTTGTTTACTATCCATTTTGACTACGCGGCCAGAAACTGTGGTGTTCGATGCAGACTCGGATTTGCTAAGCGAACCAGTTCTTTTGGAAGCAGTTTTTGGTCTGTTGTTGGCGTCCCCGCCTCGCTTGCAGAGGGCGCTTTGTCGGTCTTTGACTCAGGCATGCCGTAGCGTGAACCATGCAGCCGTCGCCCCCGGTGTTGTTGAATTCCCGAAACTCACTACGCTTCGGCTCACTCTGCTGCCTTTCGCTGCCGTGTTGGCGACCCTGGAGGTCTGCGAGGCTGTCGAACTGCTCGGGTACCTCGGATACCTCAAGGAGACTGGTCCGGTATTGCTCAAACTTGCGGAATGTAGTCTAATGAAAGCTACCCAAGTGAACTGCGAATCGGGAACTTTATGCACAGAATGTACAAAAGAATTGACAGAAGACCACAAGAAAACTCCGGCCGGAGATTGGATCTTCGGCTTGCCAGAAAAGTGTGTGCACACGATATCAGATAAGGATTATATGTTGGGACGAACTATCCGGGAGTTGATGGCGAGTGGTTGTTTACCTATACAGGCATTGTTCTCGAAGTTGAAGACGGCTCCGTTTACGTTGATGACTCTTTTATTGGACTGTGTTGACTCGGACGGGTTGAAAATTTGGACGTGGTTGGAATCGAACGTGTTGTCCCGTGGTACGATTCCGAGCATCGCTAGTAACAGCCAGAAAGACACGTTTCTGGCTGCCTTTCTACGTCTGCTGGCGGCGTTGGTGTCAACGGGCTGTGTAGGCAAAGAGAGTTGTCGATGGTTATTGCAGGGGCCATTGCGGGTGGCGGAATTGTTAGAGGTGGAGAGGCCGCGCTCCTGCGGCTGTGACCAGTGCCAGGAGGGAGCCACCTGGTGCAGCGTCTCTTGGGACGCGTACATGTCGCTGGCCTCCATCATCCGCGACTATGTTAGCGAAGTCATTCTGGCCGAAGCAGACGCCGCAGTCGCCGCCGACTGCGATACCGACCCAACTTCGGGGTCAGGGGCTGGTCTTCAAACCCCAAACCCGGGCGCTGGTCCTCAGACCTCGGAGAACCGGCCGGAGTCTGGGGACGCTTTGAGTGCTCTGGTGTCCGAGAAGTTTTGCGAGTGTTTGACGCCTTATTACATTACGTGTTTCGCTCCACTTGCACCGTCCGTGTCGGGGTCGCGATTGGATGCATTTGTGAGGCCACGGTTGGAGTTGTGCGGTTTGTTTGGAGTCTCGCCGTTGGTCGCGCGATCGCACACACACGCATTGACGTTGGCGAATGCGGCGTTGCATACGCCCTTTCTGCCCGAGGTGCTGGGCGCTTGGGAACAACCGACGGAGTTTGCGCCACTATTTATGCAACGGCTACTGCCTGCTGCTGCCTTGCACCGACCCGTCTTCACACGTCAGGTGGATCTTGTCTTTTTCGACGTCCTTTCAAGCCACCGTTTGCGCACTGTCGACCGCCCCACAAGTACGGCAACCAGACACCCCATGACTTCGCTCCTGCTACAGTACCTCAACCCACGCGGCCGCTTTGTCGCCGAGGACATCCGAGTCCTCCTCGACGTACTCAACTGGACACCCGCCTCAAGTTCTGGTCCAGGTGTCGGCGGTTCGAATCTCAACAAGTCCGCTCCTGGCGCTGGTTCCAGCTCTTCGGGGGTCGGTTTCGGCTCGCCGGAGAGCGCTGCAGCCGCGCTGTATACACGTCGCAACAAATTTATTGTTTGTCTCAAAGCGCTGCTTGGCAACGCGCTGCCCCAGCTCGTGCCGCTGGACCTGGCCCTGGACGTACCCACATTGGACGACCGGCCGGCGACCTGGGAAGTATGTGTGGTTACTGGCATTATGGCACAGCAACACCTCCTTCTGCCCCTCTTCGCTCGCTACCTCGCCTCCTGCTCCCTCTCCACCCTGGTCACTGAACAGCAGACACTCCTTCGCTTCCTTGTCAACCGTACTTGCTCCTCCGCACCTGCAGCCACCACCTCCACCCCCGACGGGACCACCGGAGGAACCACCGGGGCCGCGGGTGGTGTGGTCGCAGAGAGGATGGACCCGACCACGTCCGAACAGTCTTACTGCTTATTACTTTACGCACTCGCAGGACTGGCACTGGCCGCTCCTGCGTTGCAGCCGGATGTCGTGAATGCACTGCTCGCACACCTGCGTCCTGCCGCACACTTTCCGAAGCGGGGTGTGCCCGAGCACACCCTCGTGTGGCTCCGCACACACGTTTATCTCAGCCTCGCGCTCCTCCAGGAACGTACCGGCGTACCCAACCTCTGGGCGCGCGTACTCGAAGCCACCGAGGGCAACCCGGCAACCGCGCCACCTGAACGCGTCGCCAGAAACTTCCTATTGGCGGCACTGATCCGCTCGTGCGCCATCGTCAATCCCACTGAGGCTAGGACCTATTTCGCACTCATGACCCGCAAGTCCGTGCTCTCCCAAATCCTCTGGCGCCGCTCCCAAGAACTACTGGACCCGTCTCCTTCGAATTCGCGACCTGACTCACGTCCAGACTCCCGACCTAATTCACGTCCGTATTCTCGAACCGACTTGGCGACGAGAGGAGTCGAACCGGGGTCCAGAGGAATTGAACAGGCCTCTGTAGACGTGGCCTCTGTAGACGTGGCCTCTGTAGACGTGGCCTCTGTAGACGTGGCCTCTGTAGACGTGGCATCTGTAGACGTGGCCTCTGTAGACGTGGCCTCTATAAATCTGGAGCCTGTAGAGAGTTGGCGCTGGTTATTGGGTTGCATCCAACTACGGGAGGCGGCCAACCGGGGGGAAGCCTCGGCGTTGATGCGTGTGCGGGACAGCGCCGTGAAGGCCGTTAACAGGGGCGACGGAAGTTTCGTGTCGGAGTTAGGACTGGCGATTCTGTTGGGCATACCCACTTGGTTGTCAATGCCGGCTTCTTCACTTTCTGACCCACTCAACCACTTCGGGTGGCCCGTGAAGGCGTTGTACGACACGGTGGGGTTGGCGGTCTCTGCATCGAACAAGACGCCATTGGGCAAGGCACTGTTGTCGGTCATTTCCGAAACGGCGGTGGCCCCCGGGAAGACGGCTACGACGGCCCCCGGGAAGACGGCTACGACGGCCCCCGGGAAGACGGCTACGACCAAGTCGGCTGTGGGCCCGAATATCGGGGACTTGCGGAATCCGCAGACGTTGCTGATTATTGCGAGCATGTTAGAGAGCCTGAACAGTGCAGAGCAAAGCGGGGGCCAAGGGACTGGTCTCAACCTAAAGTCGGTATCGAGTTACAACGTTATCGGATGCCTGATGCAGCGCCTGACGGTCTTGGCGCAGTTATCGGTCTTAAATACGCGACGGGAAGCTCACGAACTGTTCCTCATTCTCAGCTTCCTGGGCCGCATGGACGCTGTCCCTCTGACGGGGAACCTGCGGCTGGTCATTGAGCAGATTATCAAATTAGCGATACGCTGGGACGACCCTCGCGGGTCGCGGCTGACGACATTACGACCTGATGGGCTAACGGCGGATCGGAGTGACGCACACGACTCCGGCTGGTATGCCTACAGCGATCCACAGGCTTGGCTGCCTATCTCGTCAGGCACGATTCTGTCCGCAGTGTTTTCTGTGTGCTCAAACGCCGGATTACGCGACATGGCAGTCGCCAACGTCATGATGAACATCGCCAAATCTGCTTGGTGGCCGCAAATGTCGCTAGAGGGCCAGCTGGGGTATGTCTCCAAGACGCTCTTGCCCAGCGCCGTGTTATTCGACAATCAACAGTTTACCGACCTTGTAATCTTCCTCATCCGCCACTTTGATGGTTTATCAACTACCAGCGACAACACTAAAATAGCCAATGAAGCGGCGGCCAATGAAGCGGCGGCCAATGAAGCGGCGGCCAGTGAAGCGGCGGCCAATGAAGCGGCGGCCGGAGCCATGCGAGATGGCGATTGGGGACTGGTGTTTCTATTGCGTGCACTAACCGAGGTAGTCTGGCTTGCAAGTTGCACCGGATTATATGATGACAAGGAGACGGTTCAGCTGGCCCAGCTCTCGGCTGCGTATAACCTAGTCCCTGCGGCATGGCGACCGGGTTTGAGTCGGGTATGGGTAACTTTGCGAGGAGAAGGAAATATCCCTTGTGGAGTCCGTGAAGTGAACCGTCTGGCATGTGTATGTTTAGCACAATTATCGCACTTGAGTGCAGAATTGCCCAAACGTGTTTTCGACAGTTATAGGCCGATTGCAGTGCGCATTGCGTATGCTTTATTTGTCGAAGGTTGTTACAAGGTTGACCAGACATTGGAACGGAAGAATCTCACGACGAAGGTTGAGTATTTGACGCCCAGATACAGAGTTGATCCGGCTTCAAATTTGATGCAGTGTCCGATAACCAACTTGCATGCAGGCGGAGATCCTGCCCGCGGTGAGACAACTGTTCGTTCCGGGACTACGAGACTTGGAGGGGAGCTGGATAGGACTAGGAAATGGTTGGTGTCCAAGGAGTGGCCATACGAAGACCGTTGGGACCGAACTTCTACAGTTAAGTTTAGCTCAAAGGAGTGGTTACAAATTTCCTGCGAGTATATCGACTCCCTTGCTTGCCTTCCGCGTTCCGTGCGTCAGAATGCACTGAAGGCGACCCTGATCGGGAAAATTGCGAGTCATCCTCGATGCAGCGAGATCATGATCAAGGCGATGTGGGTGGTCACGTACAAACCGTCATTGTGGAAGCTGCTGAGGAACCGACACTCTACCGTTTTCTTCTCAGCTCGGATACCGTCACTGTACCGCATGCCTCCCACTCCCGTCCCCACATTGCAACGTTGGGGCTGCTGCAAGGCCTCCGTCGTGATTTCCCTCATTCTCCGCACCCGCCAGACCTCCTTCGTAGACATGTCGCCCCAAACCTCCTCCGTGGACATGTTGCCCCAGGCGTCCTTCGTAGACCTACACACGGGCTACGTCAAGGACCTCTTCGAGGCCGAATGGCCCCTCAAGTCAATCCGCACACTCGCGCGTGCATCAGCTCTAAAAACCACCATCGACCTCGACCCCGACGACCACTACTGCCCCAACCATGCAGATGTTGACCGACGCAATCGACTCGCAGGATGGCTTCGCAAACGTATACGCTCCTATGACACCACACACTTGTTTCCAATCCAACTTTACCAAAGTCACGAACAACTCATTCAAGAAATAACGCAACCAGTAAGATGTCACCACTTGGGTTAGATCCACCACTTGGGTTAGATCCACCACTTAGGTATACTACTCACGGGTGGGATATGTATGTATGGATGGAATGTGGATTAAAAAAGTGCTTGCAGCTCTCGCCATCAGTCGTTGCCGTATTTTGTGAACGTGAAGCCAACGGGCCAAGTTGCGATATTGTCGCAAGACTCCGTATACTCTTTAACATCTGAGACGGCTAGCTGACGTCCCTGGTGACTGGCTGATGTTCCCCGGGCAAGGGACACGGAGCAGATAACCCAATTACGCGGAACCGGTCGACGCCAGTCTTGTTTCTAATTTTGCGGTTAAATTCGGGCTAAATTTTATTGAAAAGCCATGGAGAGAGTGTTAACTCCACAAGAGGAGCAAGTGGTTAGGGCTCAACTGGGGCGCTGCTCGGCCCCTCCGACACCCCCGGCACCACCGCCCGCACCCTTGCCGGAACCCGAGGTGATGGTGGCGGGTCATTACGAGAGTTGTCCGCGTGCGCGTGCGGTGCTCGAGTATCAGGCCATGGTGGCTGCTGACCAACAGGGCTGCTGCCACGGTCGTCACCACGGTCGGTACCACAGTCGGTACCACGGTGGGGGCGACAATTCGTTGGCTCGCGCCTACGCAACGGCTGCGGAGTTCCAGCAATTGAGCGAAGAACTTAACCCCTTCAGCGCCCATAATTTGACGCGAGGCTACGGCGTCGTTGACCCCATTACTCTGCTGAGCGTCGGCTTCGCAGCCGTCGTCATCTGCATCGGAGGCATCGCCGTCATGAACTCCTCCTCCAGACGCAGACGCAGACCGCGCTAGCATGCACCTCAAATGGTCGAGAAAGAATTGCCGCTAGCCTGCAATCCTCCGTATCGCCCCAAGCAGTGCCGCGCAGACCATCACGGTTCTGAGACCATCACGGTTCTGAGACCATCACGGTTCTGAGAATCAGACAGCTTAGGCAATCGACAAGTGCGTGGATCGAAAGTCTCACCGAGCATGTATCTAGCGAACAGTGTTCCGTTAACAATGTCCCCAGCCAGAAAGAACAGCACGTATGGCCGCCATGTTGATTCCAGCTGGTTCTTGCACACATAATTTGTTCTAACAGTCACACACGTTCGTGTGGGTGTCCGTCTCGTTTGGAAAAGTCTATCCGATCGGTCCGACGACCAGACGGGGGGGAGCAGTTTGGCGAAGAAGATTCGATCAAGGTCCGGTCGTCAAGGTCCGGTCGTTTTTAGTATAGATAGAGAGAGACGTGAAAGAACTCATTACCACACAGATAGCACACGCATCGATAAAACACACAGGGATGTAGTCTTTGGTGTTTGACTTGGTTGAGTAACCGAGAGAGAGGTTCGCTGAGTGATTGGGCATTCGTGTTATCATTTGTTGATGGGCCGGATCAGGGCGCCGCCGCGTGGTCGATGATTGAGTCGCTAAAGCCGAGAACAAACGTGCACGCACCTTCCACGGCCATAGATCTGCGGTCGCGTCAAGTATCGCCCACAGATGGTCGGGCACATCCTGCTCGCAACCAACAGGTCTGGACTGGATGTTCGAGATATGGTGTTCGCTTGTAATCACATGGAGTTGTTGCACTCTTAGCACCAGTCACAAGCCATGTGTAAATAGACAGAAGTAGATGCCCCTACGTACCAAACCTCCGTGATTTATTGTTGATGATTTGTCCGTTTCTAGCCGGTGAGTGTTTCCTTGAGTAAGATGTCGTCGTAACGGACGTTGATCCAACGCCGTGGTGGTTATAGTCGCGGTAAGCACAACTGAGCGGTACGTTATTGACTGAGGGGTATGTGGAGTGCCGTGTTGAGGAGTGCCGGGTTGAAAAGTGCCGGGTTGAGGAGTGCCGGGTTGAGGAAGGAGGTGCAATCATGCTTCGATCGTGAATGGCGAGAGTCACGGTTGTCGTCAAGCACGTGCACGCACCCTTCATGCACATGGCGGCCGAGGACGAGTGTAATTCGGTCACCTCGACTACAGGTAAAGTCCTCGGGGGAGTGTTCAGCACGGATAAAGGGACTCGGCATCGGTGTTCCGAGCTTGACTTGAATCAAGGAGGCATTACAGCGGCGGAAACTAGTCGGAATACAGTGGTTCTCGAACTTGACGAAAAACAGTCAACTCATGAAGTGGACCTGTCCTACAGCATGGAAGAACAAATTGCCTCACCCTCGAGAAACGGCCTGGGTCTTGAGAGTCCGAATTTTGACCACGCGGATCTGCACAATGAAGACCAGATGTCGTTACCAGAGAACCCAGCACAAGGAGAGCAGACGCCGAGAGATGAGGTATCCGTGGATCCTGGGATATTGGTGCCGACGGATCTGTTATCGGCAGAGCCAGTGTTTTCTTCGGACGCCGTAGATCCCGAGAATAGCGCTGTGGACTTTTCGACCATTCTTGCCACAACACCGGCCGACTTGGACGGTGGTGAGGAGCTTCCTTCTTTCGACCTAAGTGCGAGTGTGGGAGGCAGCTCGCCCGTAGGCCCTACCATGGAGACACTAAGTACGGCGGCGGCCTCTCCAACTGCTCAGCAATCGCTGAGCCGATACTTGAGAGCGCATGGCATTGCGCACAACCCCTTAAAGGTGTTGCGAATGTTCGATTCTGAACAGGTTCCGTATTCAGTCTCTCCGCGGATTTACAACTACCTGGTTGAGCTGGCGCTACGCCACCATGACCTGCAGGCAATGGACTTGCTCAAGACCCATCTGATGGACCTGACTTGTAGACACCTTGAGGATGCTCTTCACCTTTCCCAAGACCGTAATCTGGATCAGGACACACACCTGGAGCAAGCCCGGAAACAAGCGGATACGACCAATGCCACCCCTTCCACAGCGCCCCCGGCTGACGACGATCTGAATGGAGGGGTCGACAACCACGACTTCGAGGACCGCCCAAGCAGTCGGCAGTCCGGTTCCGTGAACAGCAGCCCCCGTCGGTTGGAACCCAATTTGGTGGGCCCCAATTTGGTGGGCCCCAATTTGGTGGGCCCCAATTTGGTGGGTCCCAATTTGGTGGAGCCCGACCCATTAGCCAGAGGCATGTTGAAGCAGCACGACGGCGATGTCGATCGGCACGACGGCGATGTCGATCGGCACGATAGCAATCGGCACGATAGCAATCGACACGATAGCAATCGACAGTGGTGTAGTCGGGAGTCATGCAGCGTCCAGCAAAAAGTGACTGAGTGTGGGAATCGTCGTCGTAGCCCGTGTTTGGAATTGAAACGTCTTTTCTTCGGTCCTGATTGCGGTGTTGGTCGGGATTGGGCTTCAGGTTATGGTGGTCGTGGGTGTTTGGGTACGAGTCAGATTTTGGATTGTGAGAACCCTCGTTTATTTACCCGCTTACTACGAGGTCGTCGTGAGTTGCAGAAGGAGGTGTATGGATTTGAAGTTGATGATTGTGGTGTGACGGGTGGTGGTGGAGTACCGTTCATTCCAAGTTTGGGTAGTTATGGTTCGTTGATCCGAGGTTTTGGGAGTGTTACAGATTTGAATTCGGTATGTTGGTTATGGAATCATATGCGTGTGTACAGTTTGCATGTGCCAGAGTCAGTGACCTATGGATGTTTATTTGATGCATTGGTGCAAGCTAATGAAGTACGTCGTGCTCTTGTAGCATTTCGTGCTATGGAACAAGAAGGTATTACAAAGGCGAATACAATTATGTATTCTACATTGATTAAAGGTTTCGCACGCGTGTGCTGTCATGATGCTGCCATCTTGCTATATGAAGAAATGCTTCGCAATGGTATCCAGGTTAACACTGTCACTTATAACTCACTTGTGAATGCCTGTGCACGCGCTGGCGAAATGAAGGAGGCAGGAAAAATATTGGAACAGATGATCGGCAGTGATATACAACCTGATCTTGTCACTTTCAGTACCGTGGTTAAAGGCTACTGCATCCGAGGCGAAGTGGAGCGTGCCTATCGTCTAATGCATGCCCTTAAGGATAAAGGCGTCCAACCCGATGGCATTCTTTATAACACTTTATTGGATGGCTGCGTTCGTTACAAGAAGTATGCATTATGCGAACAAGTCTGGGAAGCTATGGTGGCAGATCAAGTGGCTCCCAGTAACTTTACTCTCACCATCTTTATCAAGCTCTTCGGCAAATTAGGACGCGTAGATAAAATATTCCAACTGATTCAGGAATTCCCCGAGAAATATGGCTTCAATGTTAACGGACATGTATATACCTGCGTCATGAGCGCATGTATCAATAATCAACGCTTCGATTGCATAACTCCCATGTTCTCAAAATTACTCCTACTTCGAAATAATGATGACTCCACAACTAAGACTCTAACCAGCCGCAGGGGCTCCAATCGTAGAGCACGTGAAAGAGATGCCAGTCGAAGAGGTGTAGTACCCGATGCTAAAAGCTATGAGACCGCACTCACGGGATTACACCGTGGCAAACTGTTTCGGGAAGGTACTGAAATCCTAGCGCTCGCATTCGGATTACCAAATAAACTATGCCAAAACCCTCTAGACCTCGCCTCCATGCAACGACCACAACTCTCCAGATGCACACTCTCAACCTGGCTCGAAGTACTACAACGCAAACGGGACTTCTCCTTCTACAAACCCGACGTCGAACACGCCCTCCGCACACAACTCACCAACCTGCCTCGACATTACCGCTAGATCTCATTGTCGAATTTTTATCTCGCTACTTGTCCTTCAACACGTGCTCAGAAGCCTCCCGCACACGCTCACGTACATTCGTACGTACATTTGTACGTACATTTGTACGTACATTTGTACGCACATTTGTACGTACATTTGTACGTACAATTACGGGTATACTCTTCGCCTCGCCTTCAAACCCTTCTTTTGGACCTCACGTAATGCAGAGGTCCGAAAGTAAACTTGGTAAACCGATCAACCATCGGAATGGCGCTGTCTGTCTGCCTGCCTGCCCTGCAGCACTTGCATGTGCAGACTTGTTTGTAACCCAGCCGCACAACCCATCCGCACAACCCATCCAACTATGTCCTGTTCTATAGCTGACACGATTCCGCCGCACACGTGTGGCGGTCAAAGCCAAGGTCAGATCTCGGGCCGGACCCGACTAGGTCAGCCCCAATTGCAGTTCCAGCACACAAAAATATCCCACACTGTCTTTCTCTAGTCATCTCATTCTGTGATCTGATCTCCAGGTCCGATCTCCAGGTCCGATCTCCAGGTCCGATCTCAAGGCTTGATCTTGAGATTTGAGTTTGAGGGTTTAGTATTCGTCGAAGGGAGGGTCAAGGTTGTATTGGAGAACGGGGTCGATCCAATGGACTCGTCTACATTTGCGGAGGAGCCTCCAGAAGAAGTATACATCTGGGTCTCTTGGGGGAGGTTGAAACGTTGGGTCTAGGAGGATGTCTCTGCGGATCAGGGCGGCTCCTTTAGCCATACATTTTGGTTTCCAATGCGACTCAGGGCAGGTGAGGTATCGTACGTCAAAGGGTGCCTCTTCAGGAGGTTGGGTGAAAAGACGGGGCCAGACGATGGGTATGTCGTACTTCATGCTGATCCGTCCTGCACGAGTGAGTTCTCGTAGTCGCCAGTTGACTCCTTCTGTACCATTGGGGGCACGTGCAATCCGTGGTGGACGGGACCACTCTACACGTTCATACACACCTTGCCGTTTCCACCTGTTCGATCGTGGCACTGACAACCGCTTGTCCGGGTTCGCCCACAAGTACAAGTCGTCTAGCACCGCCTTCGCCTCTGTGTCACACTCCCCTACGTCCGTCAAACCGTCACTAGCTACCCAAAATGCCCATGCAGGTGTTACCCGCTCCATATCGTCACCCAACTGTCGATCCACTTCTTCGCCCAATCGCCGACCACCAAGAGGCGGTCCTGCGACAGTCGTGGGTAATGGACGCAACAAAAAGGCGCCGCTGGAGGACGATGTGCTGGGGGCTGCCGTAATGGGAGCTGTCGTGATGGGGGCCGCCGTGATGGCGGCCGCAGTACTGGGAGCTGTCGTGTAGGAGACCAGGGTACTGGGGACCGGGGTACTGGGGACCGGGGTGCTGGGGACCGGGATGCTGGGGACCGGGGTGCCGGCCGCTGGTTGCTGGCTCCCAGACGAAGTTTGCTTCTTGACCGGGATGCGAGGCCCCTTATGGCTGGGCGAGTCAACCCTTTTTAGTTGGTAGGTGTGCCCTCTCCAGACTTTGAATGTTTCCAAATCTTCAACGCTCTGGAAAGTGCGCGGTACAAATGTGTGATACACCGCGTCCACATTCCCGTCAGTCGTCTTGCCCTCAGCGGTATCGGTCCTGTCAGAGGCCTTGCCTCTCGTTTGGTAGTCTTTGAGTGCTTCTTGGAGCACTTGGGTTCGTTGTGGATGAATGAAGCTGTCGTCGTCGACGATGTCAACGAAGGTGGTATTGGCCAGACTGGCTGCAAGAAGGGTGCTTTTGGAATGGGGGGAGGTAATGGTGGAGGAGGTAGCGGTGGAGAAGTAGTATCGCAGATTGGGAATTCGCTGCATCTGTCGAGGGACGTGGATTGATTCGAGGTAGGCAAGTCTTTCCCAAAACTCTGCCGATCTGGTGGTGAAGTAGCCGGGTGTGGGAGCCTGCCTATTGAGGCCGTTGGCATGGCTGCTGATTCCGGACATTAAACTCAGTAGCTTCTTCGCCGATTCCATTTCGCTATCGCTCTCTTGCCGGATATCTCTCCCCCGTTTCAGCTTCAAAGCTGCCGGGTGAGCCTCATACACCAAACCTTTTACTCTCGTATCCAGCACTAACTGATCCCTTTGCAAACCAGATGTGATAACAACTACTGCGGCTCGAAATGGAATAGTCTGAACGCTCAGCATCTTCAACCAAAATGGGTGAAACATTAACCCTCTCGGGCCAACAGAAGTCACGATGGTAACGTCTGCTGCCTCTCGCGATACCACTCCAGGGTCCGCTAGCACCGGCTCCGTTCCGCCCGACTCCATCATAACACTCTCCACCGACAAAGGCACCACCGCAGGGGGAATTACCGCAGGGGCCACCGCCGCAGGATACTGACCTTCAGCCAATGCTACCACCTGGAGAACCACAACTAACGCTGACCACAGCACACCCACCACATTCATTGTTACCACGAAAAAACTACGCCGCTGCAGAGATCGATCACACCCCGCCAGCTGAAATCAGCCAGCCAGCAAGCATATCCATGACAAGCTTAGTTGTGTGTTGTTATCACCATACAGCCAACCTATTTATTCGTGTGTGCTTTCCACCGTGTGTGCTTTCTACACAAAGGAGTGCTCGGAACATTCTTGGCCTAATAGGGTCTGAACATTCTTGGTGATAGCTTCTGGATCCCCTTAAAAATGGTCAAGTCAGAGAAGGTCACCAGAGCCCCCCCTTTCTCCCGGGAAATTCAATGCCCTTCATGCCGGTGCCGACCCTGTGGAGCGCCCTATTGTCTCACTCGAGTCGTAGCACAGTGCCAAGGACACTACAGTCCTGAGATATGAGCTGCGCGGGACCGGCGGCATGCCCGGACGCCCTCTTGTAACTTCGGGATGGTTACGAGCCACCGTTTTCTTACCTTGCGACCACAAGTCTGATCATACTAGCGCTCTCTCTCATATGACCGGCTTCTTCCACGGTTTACTGAAATGAACTGTACGACGGGTCCACTAGCTCGTCGACCAGTCATCCGAAAAACAGCAGCTCTCTGCCTCGCACACTAAACAACAAGGTGTGAAATTTTTAAGAGGGAGAGAAGATACTTACCTACCTCGGGGGGGGCTTTCTCACGACGAGCTGCCCCGCTGAATCAAGAAGCGTACGACATCGTCGTTGTTCCTGACTATGCGAAGCCCGCTGGGCACTTGTACGCTACGATGGAACCGGACAAACCATCGCCGGAATATTCCTGCTACAATGCCTTCGACCACCAATTCAACAGGAGACTGCCACTACTGGGTTCTGCAACGCCCAAGACGGGTGAGATTCACCAAACATGCCCGTGTAACGGTGCTAGATTTGCTACCTTCACGTTCGACGACTTTTTTTCCCAAGGGTTCTTGTCCGTTGGACAGGAATAGACAATCTTCCCATCGTCGGAAGGACTCCTTAAAACTCTTTGAAGAAGATGTCGTCGAACGTGGGGGAAGCAGACTTAACATCGCCACCCAAGATTTCGATCGGCCACCCCACAAGATGGGGCACTCAGGAAGCCGTTATGGGGCACCATCAAAAGATAACACTCACACCGTCAACTTGACGGTATTCAGGTGAAGGCCGTTAATAAAAGTTCAGATGCGGTTCGTCTCCGATGCGGTTCGTCTCCGATGCGGTTCGTCTCCGATGCGGTTCGTCTCCGTGTCAGTTGCCATTGTCTGTGCGGAACGGTGAGCAAAGTCTCCAGGCTTGACATTCTGGACGTGTTTCCGATCTTCTGGCCGCCCCATCATTCGGCCGTTCTCCGATCCATCTCAAGTGCCACCTCGTACATTACCGAGCTCTCCCTCTCTTCTTGGGTCGACCTGAGCCCTTCAGTTCGCGCTCGTGCGCACCTAGCATCCTTCGTCTACTTCTGTACTACTCACTCGTCGTTCTTATCCTCAAACTCAATCACCTCAGAGCCGACCTTAGTTCTCGAAGCACTTCCCTTGCACCACCCAAGCCACGCAGCCATTTGGTCCGGCAATTTGACTGTCTTGACCACCTAGTTCACCGCAGCCTGTGTTTCGAACATCCGTAAGTTTGTATCAAACTCATCTGCACACCATCATTGTCAACGAGGCAAAAAATTTGTTCTACTCTACACCTTTCTTGCTACTGCGGCTGATCCATATCAGGCATGGGGCGTGCCATGCCCCCGCGCATCTCACGAGTCATGTTTTGCCCATCTCCGGTAGGGGGTGGTCCACATGGCATATCTCTGGTCATTCGATGCATACCCCCCCTCATCTGAGGCATACCTCCACCTGTGTGAGACATCTCTCCCGCCGTGTGAGGCATATCTCTCCTGCCATGA